CGGCAATTACGGGACACCCTGTATATCTACATATATACACATATAGATATATACACACACATATATATACCCTGATAGGAAAACATTTACAAAATTATATGACGTAATCTTACATTAAAATTGTAATTTGCAAGTACAATTTTACAGATATAGTTTTACAGATATATTGTATACAGATATATTTTAGGAAATAAATGTAAAAACATTGATCTTTTATGAAATATTTGTAGTTGTTTGCAAAATTACTTTCCAATTACTAATTTGGTAAAAGAACAACGATATGGCGAATCATCTTAGCAGTATAGTTGCAAACTTAATTTCAAAAAGAAATTATCAAAATATTTGAAAAGAAAATTTCAGCTATGTGATGTTTAAAATATGTAAAAGTATAATTGCATATGAAGAAATCAACTTAATTCATGTATGTACTTAAGGAAATGCATAACGACTTTTTTGCAATTTTTGACAAATATTATTTACTAAAATTTTTCTTGACAATACTGTTGCGTTATGGCAAATCATCCTTGTGCAATCATTGCATTATTTTCACAATTTGTCTATTAGGGGTATACATATCCCACATAGCACGTAATATTACTGCAATATCACAGAGAGTAAAATTGCAATATATCAGTAATATTAGATATTATAATATAATATAATATTATCGACATATTACATTTACATATAATAATGAAATATTACGTAAATAATATTGTATTGCATTTCAAGTAGCAATATTATATATATCAAATGTTTTTATTATGTCTTCTAAACGATAGAGATGTTAGTTAACGTGATTTACTATTTGGCACCTTGCATACATTGCATTAGACTACCCGGTAAAAAATATTCCATGTATAAAATTGTATGGACATATTTGGTATATAAATTTGCATAATTAGATATAATAAGTGTAATTTGTGTATAAGTATATATGATTATATATCAAAAATTTTTTTAAATTGTAGTAAAAATATAGTTTTATATAATTTGTTTGTATCTAACATGATACTAATAAAGTTATTTTGTAATTTGATATGGAATATCTTTGAAGCCATTCTCTTAAAAAAAGAAATTCTCCATGTATAAAATTGTATGGACATATTCGGCATATAATTTTGCATAATTAGATATAATTATTTTAATTTGTGTATAAGTATATATAAAAAATTTTTTACCGGGCATGAATAAAATATTTTGAAACTAATAAATTTTTTTATGATATGTTGCGAATATCTTTTTCAGTAATATTACTCAAACGTATGTATTACTCTACATTGTACTGTTTGAATAAGTAGTAATGTACAAAATATATCTGTAACATTTATAAAATTATATATAAACATATATGTATATGTATATGTATATGTATATATGTATGTATATGTGTATATTTATGTATATATATGTGAATGCATATATATGTATATGTGTTTGTATATGTAAATTGTACATATTAAAATAGTATTAAAGTTAATTTATTATGCATATAGTTTTTACAATGTAAGTACAATTGTGTGTAGGATTGGTAAAATAATAAATTTATTGTGGTACAATATTTTTTAAGCTTTGGCGCAAATTTTGACAAAACTATGATTCTATATCTGTTTTGCCTTACTGTAACTATTTCTAAATGTTGATTCCTAAATGTGGTTCGCATGATATAAGAAACAAATTTGTAAGGTTTTGTTTCTATAATATATAAATTATTATCAGTTTTGTTTCTATAATATATTAGGTATACAACTTTGCTTCCGCCGTTTTTTTTTTCAAAATTCAAAGCTTTATTGTAAAAAACTGATTATACATTTATGTTTCAAAGTATTGTCCATTGTTTTCCATTACTTTCTCCCACCTTTCTGGCAGCAATCGGATCCCGCGTTGAAAGAACTGGTCATCTTTTGAAGCGATTTACGAATCGATCCAATTTTGGACTTGTTCATAAGACTGGAAGTGCTGATTTCTCAGGCCGTGTGCCATGGATCGAAATAGGTGATAGTCAGAGGAAGCAACGTCTGGAGAATACGGCGGGTGGGGTAAGATTTCCCATTTCAACGTTTCTAAGTATGTTTTGACAACTTTTGCAACATGAGGCCAAGCATTGTCATGTTGCAAAATAACTTTATCGTGTCTTTCAAGGTATTGCGGCCGTTTTTCTTTCAATTCTCGGCTCAAACGCATTAATTGCGTTCGATAAAGATCTCCTGTGATTATTTGAGACGGTTTTAACAGCTCATAATATATTACACCGAGCTGGTCCCACCAAATACAGAGCATGACCTTGAAGCCGTGAATATTCGGTTTAGCCGTCAGCGCAGAAGCGTGGCCGGGATATCCCCATGATTTTCGGCGCTTGGGGTTATCGTAAAAAACCCATTTTTCGTCACCAGTCACAATGCGATGCAAAAATCCTTTCCGTTTTTGTCTTTCAAGCAGCTGTTCACAGAAACGCCGTTTAACATCTCTCGGCTTCAACTCGTATGGCACCCAATATCCTTGCTTCTGGATCATACCCAGATTGTTTAGGCGTTTTGAAAGTGCTTGTTGGCTCACTTGCAATGATCTTGCCAACTCCTCTTGACTTTGACAAGAGTCTTCATTGAGCAAATGCTCTAATTCTTCATCTTCAAAAATTTTGATCTTCCACCACTATGCCGGTTTTCTACACAAAAATCACCGCTCTTGTAGCGTTGAAACCACTCACGACATGTTCTTTCATTCATAGCAGCCTCACCATAAGCGTCTGAGAGCATTCGGTGAGCCTCAGCCGCAGATTTTTTAATATTAAAAAAATAAATTAACACCTCCCGCAAATGACGAGAATTTGGCTCATAAGTTGACATTTTTATTCGAGAATAACTATATGATGTAAACACAAATCAACTACTGGTGCTATCAGGTTATGTTCACAAGATACTAAAGAGTATTGCAAGTCATCTATAATGTATGTACTCGACGTCTACGTGTCGCTAATGGCATCTATAGAAAAACGGCAGAAGCAAAGTTGTATACCTAATATAAATTTATTATCTTGATTTTTAGCGATATTAAGGACGCAGATGATAGTATTATCCTTTAATATAACGCAGTTATTTTTATTATTGTTTAAATAAAATAAAACAATTTAAATAAAATAAATCTAAAAAAAAATACAATGTTTTATATTCTTCTACATATGTAATCACGTTCATGACTCAATGGACCATTTTTATGATCTCTCTCAAGAAATCTTCTGTTACGCACTTCGGAGCAGTTACTACAAAAATTTAACTCATGAAGTCTTTGATCAGTCTGTTGAAGTGGTTTATCTTCTTTTTGGATTACTTTTTTTTTATTAAGTTATCAATATAGTTTTAGTAAGATCGGCTCCAAGGTTTTAAATTATTTCTAAAGTGGAAAATATAGGCCGATTGGAGTCTAAACACGGTTGTTAATATGTCACATAGTTATGACTTTATTATTAAAATGTTACAGACGTTTTGATTACTATTTCTGATTTCAAAATTTATTATTGTATAGATATATTGAAAAGAACTGAAAATACGATCGAAACGTCTGTAACATTTTAATAATAAAGTCATAACTTTCTGACATATTAACAACCGTGTTGAAACTCCAATCGGCTTATATTTTCCACCTTAAAAATTATTTAATATTAAATTAATCTATAACCTTATAATATTACAGTAATATTCTTGATATATCACCGCAACATTACTGTGATATATTATCGTAATATTACTGAGATCCGATTCAGCGGACATTTTATTATTATTGTGAAATTACAGTAATATTACTATGATATTTCTACTATATTAGAGTGTAATATTGCGATCAAAAAACAATATTACTCTCTGTGATATTGCAGTAATATTACGTGCTATGTGGGATATATATACCCCTATGTATATATATATATATATATATATATACCCCTATATGTATATAAGTATATATAAAAAATTGTTTTTCGGCAGACTCCATATGAAAGCCGGAGATTCCAGGTTTGAGTCCTAGCTGACGAGTTTTCATCGCAATATTTTAAAATTAGGAAAAATTTCGTCATACAATGCAGGATTAGTTTGACCGGGCCACGAATCTATTATTAAAAGAAATTTTTACTTTTTTACATATAATAATAATATTTCTTTTAAATATTGTGTATACAGATTTGTTGTGAGTTTTCCGGACGTTTGCAATTTTTATGCAATCTCATGAAGATTGCATAAAAAGTGTTGTAGAGATGGAAACTGTCTTTAACATAAAAAGGGAAATATGGAATATTGTTGTGTAATATTTTGTGTAAATATAACGCGAATTTATGTAACGGACTATTTATCATAGATACAATAATTCTGAACGGACAATTGTTTTTGTGTATCTTGGGAACTCCGTACGCACGTGGAAGCAATGCGTTCTTAAATCTAGTGATGCATTGCTAATATTATTATCTATAACATTTTATATGTTCAATGTCTATTTATTTGTCTTTTTTTATTGTCACTATTTTTTGATACTAAATAACTATATTTCATAGATCATGGATACGATTAGAAATGAATACACACAAAAAATACAGACTCCATTACAACAATTTTATGCAGGTCAAACTATTTTTATCACAGGTATTGCTTTATATTTTTTCACGTACAATCTTTGATGAATTTGTAAATAGATACTTTTCAAATGTGTTTCAAAAATCACTCTGTATTTCCTTTATTATTCATATTATATTATTATTTTACTTTATGTATAGGGGCTACTGGATTTATCGGAGCAGTCTTACTTGAAAAATTGCTGAGGAGTTGTACCAATATTTGNAAAATTTATCTGTTAATACGTCCGAAGAAANANCAAAATATCGAAANTAGACTGNACGAATTAATTGAAAATCGAGTGAGNTGTGTATANATGTATTTATGCCAAGAGCACTAGTATATAAATATGTGCCAACGTACAATCGAGATCATTTATTTATTTAACATTTTTATTACTAGTTATTCGATCGAGTAAAGAAAGAAGTTCCAAATTTTCGACATAAAATTGTGCCGATTTTCGGTGATCTTTATAACGAAAACTTAGGGTTGTCTGAACATGACAGGAACATATTAATTCGTGAAGTAAGCACATGAGACTTATATTACATTATTTATACATATAATAATATCAATAATCTTTTGTATTGTAGGTATCTATAATCTTTCATGTGGCGGCGACAGTACGTTTTGATGAAGAAATACATAATCTTATTATATTAAACGTCGGTAGTACCAAGGAAATTTTAACACTTGCAAAACATATGTCAAACTTACAAGTACGAGCTTGTTTTGCAAAGTATTTCTAAACCGTTATATTTGAGTGTTATTTTTAAATTACCAAAATAATTTTTTAAATATTACATATATGTTGAAGATACATTATTGAGTACTTTACTATTTATTATTTTTTGAAAGTGTATTAAAAATTAACATCTACGTTTTCCAGGCATTCCTATATACATCTACCTTGTATTCAAACACTCATATGAAAAATATTGATGAATGTTTTTACACATGTCCGATTGATCCCGAGTATCTGATAGAATTGTCACGTAATTTATCTACAAAAGAATTCAATGAAAAAATATCTCAGTATGTTTTACTTATATTCATGTGATTCTTAAAGCAATAAAACTTTATTTTTTATATAATAATTATAATAATCACATATACAGTAGATGAATAAAATTCCAGTACTTTTGAGCATTGCAAGTATGATTTTTTCTTTACGGATACAAAAATAGTGTTTAACATACAAAGATGTTTTTTCGGGTTTGAATCGCGTTAGTGTCATTTTTATACCGACGTTTCGTGAACATTACAGCTCACTTCATCAGGGTTTAAAGAGTAGCTTGATACAATATCTCTTTAAACCTTGATGAAGTGAGCTGTAATATTCACGAAACGTCGGTATAAAAATGACACTAACGCGATTCAAACCCGAAAAAACATCTTTGTATGTTAATACTACACACCGCGAAAGCATCAAATATCAAAAATAATTTTTATTATTGTTAATTCTCCGATATTTTTGAGTGACTTTGCAACACGTAAAATATTACGCGCTTATTCCCAATCTAATTAGAATAGAATAAACTAAAATATATATAGAATAGAATATATACTTCTTGATTCCTTTCAGGGTTACAAGTTTTGTTACAAACTACTTATAACTAACTTACAACTATCTTACCGACTAACTTATATACTACCTCATCAACTACTTAATCACTATCTTACTTACTAACTTACATACTAATCTAACCACACATACAGTGCGGAGCACCATATCGTGCGCCGTGAGGAGAAGTAGTTCTCCTCCAGCTGCCTCCTACTAGCACGCGCCAGCGACCCGAGATTTAATCCATATGTACCGGCACGGTTACCGATGACACATACCGACGCGGTTACCAATAATACCGACAAC